CCACGTAGAATTAAGGCAGTTCTGAAGGCGAAAGGGGGTCAAACACCGTATTAGTATGGTGTTCCTAATAATCCTTTAGGTGAGTGTATATCCAGCCTGCCTAAGCCTTTAAAAAATCCCCATTTCAATAGGCCTATGTTGATTAATGTAGGGTAAATTAATTAAGGGTAAATTAATTCTAGAAAATATGTAGAAATGATAGGCCTAATTATCTGCTTTATTCTTTAGGGACCACACCATATTAGGGAGGCTAAGCGCAGGGAAGGCTGCTCCAATATATCTCAGTTCTTTAATGCAGAAAAGCAAAGTCTCACTGAGAAGGTCACTGCAGCTGAGGTATATTTCACATCATTTGTTGTTGAACACAATGTGCCATTCAATGTCTGTAGGCACACTGGCAAGTTGTTCAGGAAGATGTTTCCAGACTCAGAAATAGCTAAACATTATGTCTGCTCCTCCACCAAAGCAACAGCCATAATGAACTTGGCCCTGGAACCTGAATGTTCAGAGGATATGTACAAACTAATCTGCACGGAAAAAAAGCCATACAGTATTTTGATTGACGAAAGCAATGACATCATGTGTGAGAAAGAATGTGCTATTTTAGCCAGGTACTACAGTGAAGCACAGGATAAGGTGGCAGTTGGATTTATTGATATGCCAGTATGCAATGATGCCAAAGCTGAAAATATATTCAACTGTATTGCATCATCCATGGATAAGAAGGGCATTGAATGGTCCAACTGCATTGGATTCAGCAGTGACAATTGCAATGTCATGATTGGCAAAAACAACTCTGTCTTGTCAAGAGTGAAAGCTCAGGCCCCTCACATATACAGCGTTGGCTGTCCTAGTCACTTGGTTAACATATGTGCCAAAACTGCTGCTAAAGAGCTTTCAATGTCACCTGAAGAATTGATAATTGACATATACTACTACTTTGAGAAAAATTCAAAAAGAAGAGAGGAACTGAAAGAATTTCAGGAGTTCTGTAATGTAGCCCAGCAGAGAGTACCGAAGCACTGCCCTACACGATGGCTTTCTTTGGGGAAAAGCTTGGACCATCTGTTAAACCAATGGCCTGCTTTTAGGTCTTACTTTGAATCACACAGTGAAAATCAGAAGTCCCGTGATATTGAGAAGAGGCTGACAGACCCCATGATGAAAATCTACACTTGCTTTCTCCACAATGCCACACAGTCTTTTGATAAATTTAATTTGATTTTTCAAAACAAGGCACCCATTCTCTTCAAATTAAATGACAGTGTTGAAGAGCTACTGCATGACATCGGGAGCAGATTAATAGTGCCAAAGGTGTTGAGAGAGCAGAATGTGCAGGAAATAGATGTGAGCAACCCTGAGGTCCACTGTGCAGATGAAAACCTTTTTGTTGGGTTCTTGACAAGGAGACACTTAGTTAGTGAGGAAGAAATCCCTTCTGACAAGAAAAAGCAATTCTTCAAAGATGCAAGATCATTCTATGTCAGGAGCTTCCAAAAAGTAAAGGAAAAGTTCCCACTGAGAGACCAAATCTTGACAAATATGTCAGTTGTTAATCCAGAGGGCCAAGATGATGTGGCACCAGAGCAGATTTTGACTTTGGCAGAGAGATTCCCCAATGTTGTGAAAGCAGATGCAAAGGAACAGCTACACTTAGAGGTGCTGGATTATACCTCAACCAATTTGGAGAAAGTCATTCCAAATTACAGGAATTTGTCAATTGATGAGTTCTGGGGGAAGCTATCAAAAGACAAATCAGTCAGCACAGGCCAGATCAGATTCAAAGAGCTCTGCCAAGTAATGAAGCTGTTGCTGGTTCTGCCCAATTCCAATTGTGATGTGGAGAGAGCATTCAGTTTGGTGCGTCATATCAAAACAGAATTCAGGTGTCAGATGTCTCACCAAACTCTTGTGAACCTGATGTCCTGTAAGATAAACAAATTCAATGATGTTGAGTGCTATGACCTTGAAGTGTCAGGGAAATTGCTCAAGTCTGCAAAGCAAGCAGCATGTACATACAATGAGACCCTGAAAATGTCCCAAGCATGACATGTGTTCTCAGAAGACTGGAAGATAGAAAAGACATGGGCATACATTTGAAATCTTTAAAGACCAACATGGTACTGTTTTGTTTTTACGAAATTACCGGTAGTTAATAAAAAGCTGGTGAAAAGTTGTTGGCCTTAGGTGTGTATGGGTGGGGGTCGGTTGTTGGGATTGGATGGGATGGGGGGTCGATAAGCATCTCCCTGAAATGAGTTTTTGGAACTTGGGATTATTAACTTGACCAAAAATCCTACACACCACTTCAGACGTTTCTTGTGGCTGTCCTGTTTCATTCGGTCTAAAGCCAAAGTATTGCCAGAAAGGTGAATTTGCACCTTTTTTACCAACCAAGTTTGTCGACGCCATTATAACGACACAGATCACTGTGCCTATTCATGCCAGAGTCCCACGGAAAAAAGTGATTGACAGGTGGTAATTTGTGTGTAACTTATCTTTATTTATTTATGGTTTGGTTATGGGTAAAACAAAGACTATGCGGGTCAGGTAGTGGAAACGGTAGGCTACAATTAATTAATTCGTTATGAATTAATTATTTAACAACAACCATCCCTCCCCTCCCCAAAAACGTTGCATTCTGACACGGATGACCCTTGCTATCCATGCTTTTTTTCGACGCCATTGTTGTCATGAATAATTCCGTGGAGCGTGTCACGTGACAAATTATGAGGCGCGTACAATTTATTTTTTATTGATAGGCGTGGATTTCTTTGCGCACCTCTTCAGCATTTTAGGCGCGTGATGGCGTGCATGCGCAATTGCACACCTTAAAGGACAAGCCCTGAAAATGTATTGTCGCCTTCCACATAAATCCACAGGAGACCTGATTCATGGCAAGTACAATATAGTATAAAGTCTAAAAACATAAACTGTACTTGCCAGCAGCAAGAAAACATGACAAAGAATCAAAGACAAATAAGTAATTAACCAGTAAAGCTCTGAAACTTATTATCCTCTAAATTAAAATTAAATAAATAAAATATTCAGCTTAAATAGTCTTGAGCTTCCACCAGTCCTTTTAAACATCACACTCTTCAAATTAAATACAAATTGAATTGTGCCCAGAAACAAAAAAAAAATCTACTGGCCAACAGCAAAAAATAAATAAATAAAGAGAGAAGAAAAAAATCAAACATGACTTGAAGCTCTGAATCTGCATTTTTCTTAAATGTAAATAAAATAAAATTAAAAAAAACTAAAAATGTATTGTGTCCTCAGAACAGAATACAAGTGGCCATCAGCAGAAAAGTCACATGTAACAGTGCAATCAAAAACGTAACCATCAAAACTTCCAGCTGCATTTGCTGTTTGTTAGCCCTGTCTACATGAATAGGTCATTTTTTAGGGTCTCCAACCTTGGTGAAAGTTTTCCATCCTCTAGTCCAAGCAAGATTTTTTGTACAAATTCAAACGTGTTTGTCAGGCCTTTAAGATAACTGAGGTGGAGGGCATAAATTAAGCCAAACAAAACAAGAAAAGCATCTGCAAGCCTGCAAAGGTTGGTCACTCCATTGCTTTCCTGTATAATGGAGATTGTCTCTGGGTTGTAGTGAATGAGATCTTGTATGTTGTCCCTCACAACTGTAAGCAGAGCCACTGGTGCATCCCCAAATTCTGCCTCGTCCTCCAGCTGGGAATGAATGATAATAATATTAACAATATTAATTATTTTGTGCACAGCTACTGTAGTTTCATGCATTCTCATCCCACTGGGGCGATCAAACCCACAACATACAACTTCAGCAAGAAGGCAGACAGATGTAGGTGAAAGATCATGAGCAAATCATTTTGTAGTCAAATTTGTAAATAAAAATATATTTATACTGATAAATGCAATACTAGGTCTAACAGAAAAATGTAGTTTAACCCTATGGAGCCACTTGACTTTCAAAGTGCTCTCCAAAGTTTACAATTGAAAACCATGAAAATAAAAGGTATTATATTTACATTTTTTACTCAGGCACATTGGAGAATTGGGTCATCTTGTTGCCTTGTTTTCAGTTTCATTTATGCTTTGTTTTGAGAACCATTTTAGATTGCACATGTTTGAGTTTAATTTGCCAAGTCTAGATTGTGTTTTGCATTTCATCTGTGTTTTGTTAAGTATTATTTCTGTTCATACCAGAGTTTCCCTGCACATGCTTCTGCAAACCCACCAACCTGACAGACTTTTTTATTGTTCCATTGTCCTAATCAATTTATGGTCAAACACTTCCTATTCTAACACTTTAAATGTCGAGCATCACCAGAAAATTTTAGAATAATCATCTTAATCTGCTCCTGACAGGATTAGGGATGCCCCGATCAAGAATTTTGTTCCCGATCCGAGTCATTTAAAATTATATTTATGATTATATCTTCTGACCAAATCTCAAACCAATACTTGCTTTTTCCAGAACTTCAGTATTCAACTGTATTTTTAAGTGTGTAATCAAATTGGTGGTATTTTAAATGAATCTCTGTCCAGGCTTAAAATTCAATTGCAAATAAAAGCTATAAGGTAATGTAATAATACATGTATTAATAAAATTAAAAACACAGGCCATTCACTCAGATGCAGTACCTAAATATTGCACGTAGATCTGTAATACAACATTATTTCTGCTAGTGTGATATTTGTGTATATACTGTGTGAAATACGGTAAAAGACGTATACAGGTGGTGGTTCACATTAATAAAATCTTACCTTGCATGTTCTGAAAAAATTAGAGGTGTCTTCACGAAGCAAAACAGGAAGGGCATGAATCACAGTGGTACGCCTTGTGTGGATATCATGCAGTTCCTAAAAAGGTGCAGAGAAATTACTATTATGACAATGACTAATTAAATCAAGTTAGTCCATCTCACAATACTACAGGAACACCTAAACAAGAAATGTCAAGTTCTACCCTTTACTTAAAAAAAAAAATCTTAACCTGTTCATCATGGACCTTCAAAATGTTAGCAAGCACATCTGCAAATTGTCCAGTCTTTGATGCTTTCTGTCGGTACATGGTCATCAAACGAGGTGTGTGGCGATCCAGCTCAGAATAGAATTTGTTGGGCAAATTCTGATTTGTTATCCGTTGGAACTCTGCAAACACCTTCAAAACAAGCAACAAACATAAATCAATGAGTATAGTAAACAGGGCTCCACTAGTTCACTACAGCATTGTTCTCTCATACGGATAAAAATGTATGTTAAAACAGGTCGAAATAAATATGATAAATCACAAATAAGTCTCAGGCATGTGTTAAAGATGTTTATGCATTTTACATGGGCTGCTTGATAAATGTCAACAAACCACTACAATAACTGTGGCACACTTTGGTAATCTGAATAATATGTTATTATTTTATGCTACAAAAAGAATAGTGCACGATGAAGAATTATAAATAAACAATATAATATATTGAAAATCAAAAATTATAATATTTTGTATCACACTTCCTCAAAAAGGCAACCTTTTAATGGAAATATTTCAGAAGCAGTCTACAGCCAAGAATGCAAGACATTCAGAATCACATTTAGTGCAGTACATATACAGATAGTCAGTGATGATGGAAAAAACACACTACCTCAGTCTCCATACGCAGAGCAGGCCACTGATCAAGGAACTGCTTCACTGGTGCGCTGGTGGTCACTATAATCTGTCGTCGTAAGGCAATGGTTGTCTGCATCTTTGCATTTATGAAGCTTGTGCTTTTTTCTGTCTTTTTCATCTCTTCTGCAATTTCCTCTCATATTATCAAGGCTTGCTTGATTCTCTCCCAGAGGAAAGTTGGGTAAAAAATTGACTTCTGCACGCTTTGGTCTCTTTATGTTTGAATATGATGGTTCATTTTTTGGATTGCTTTGACTTCTTTTGCCAGCATTGACACTCACTTCCAAACATCCTACTTTTCTCAGCTTCTGTCTGTAATTACCAAGTTTAAACTTAATGCTGTTCTTCCACCCATTCCAGCCTGTCTCTGATCCAGCTTCCTTCAGGCAGGGATGTTTGGTTACTAAAGCTTCAGCTACTTGTGCAATTTCTTTGTCACATGGATAAGCCTTGAAACCATAAATGGTTGAAGCAAGTTTGTCCAGAATGTCTTGTTTCTGGTCTCTTGTCAACTTGAGATGTTTACCATTCTGTTGAAAAGCCTGCTCTGAGCCTCAGCTCAACATCAAAAGAAAAATTGGGAACAGGAAAAATACCTGGAGGCCACCTGCTAAGACGCTCTGGAGATGACAGGTCTGACAATAATTCTGTAGATGCAACAGAACTACCACATTCTGAACTCATCAGTTCTGGAAATGTAATATGTACAACTGCCTTTAGGGGTAATTCATCAATGTCAACCAAGGATGTAAGCTTCCCATCAAAATCTGGATCTTCATATTGCAAACTGAAGTCAACATCCAACTCTAGTTGCTCCTTCAAAATTCTGATAAGGCTGTCAACAGAGGCTGGCCGAGAGCTCAGTTTTACTTTCCTTGCATTGCCTTTATCAACAACACGTAGTATCATGGCTTGAGGGTTTTCCATTGCTTTCCTGATAGACATTTTAAAAGATGACACTTAAAATATTGCAATGCTAATATATGACACCATGTATACACACACAATCTATATATTAAAACCTGTCAAACACACACAATCACTGTGGCCACTTAATTGGTACTTTCTAGGGCCCCCTTTGCTTCAAGATTACTGGTCCTTGCTGACTCAAAATGCAAATTTGTCCATCTTGCCAATCGTACTCCATCACATCCAGATATGGTGATTATGGATATTATTGGGTAGATATTTTAGATTCTGCTTTGATACTTTTTCCATAAATCTTGATTAGAAATGGCAGATTAGATATCTGCATTAACACACGTTATAAAGGCAACAAAAAAGCCACTCACCTAGTATCTAGTATTTTCGCTCACTGCAAGGAACCTCTTTAGCGTGACCAATAAACAACCATAAATCATGTAAGCAGTGAGAGTCCCTGTGTCACTGATGTCAGGAAGCCGATGAACAGACAGTGCAGTTCCTGTTGGTGTTAGCTCATAAGAACGAAGATGTTCTATATACCAGGAATCAAAATTACAGCACAGGAATGCTACATGATGATTCACTAGGTATATCTGTGCAATTTTACAAAATTTTGCCAATCCCTTATCCACTCCAACTGACACAAACATGCCAGTAGAATAATCTGTGCCATCAACTGTTACCTTTGAAGTAATATAAATTGTGCCACTTGTTGTTATCCTTTTGATGTGTGTTTGAGCTTCTTCTGGTAGGGCTGAAAGTACAACAGAGGTAACATTACATGTTTCAATTGCAGGTTTAAAAAATGCTGGTGCACTAAGATAAGCTATCATGTACTGCAGGGGTAGAATTAGTTTGTTCGGGGGGCACAGCAATGTTTGCCTTTTATCCCCTCAAATATAGGAGGGCGCTAAGGCATTTTCCTGTAGGTTTGGAGGGCACCAAGGCAATCAAGAATTACTGGCCAGGGCACTGAGGCAAAATGGTATATAGCCGGACGCATGAAATATTTAGCATTCTGACATTTTCAAGGGCAATAAATGCATTAGCACCCTGTGAAATAGTGTTAGACTAGCTATTGAAAAAAGATGCTGTTGCCTTCATTCATCTACTCAGTAATAATGAAATGTTTTATGAAAAAAAACAGAACCAGCTATTGTCAGTGATAAAAACTTTAATTTAATGAACATTTTTTTTACTGAGACATTGAACACTAACATGACTAACAGAACTTCAAAATAATGCATGAGTGACCATATTCATGCCAACTACCTAACCCCCGCCACCTGCCCCGAGACACTCAAACACTGTCCCGAGACACTCAAACACTGT